CTGTTTCTCAGCTCCTTCCCTTACTTCCACTCCTAGCCCTTGGCCTAGATAATGATTTGCTGTAGACTGGGATTTGAACTTGAAACTGGTCATTCGAATACCCACTTGGTTTTTTATGTAGCTTAAATAAACCATTTATGACTTATTTTCTCTTCTAGATATCTACAAAGTGCTTTTTATGCAATCGTATGTAAATATAAATTTCACTGATTCAATAAACATTTCCTATTCTAAGCACCGTGTTAAGACAGAAGGAAGGTTCAAGGTACAAACATGCATTGTGTTTTCAGGCGGTTTTTATATCCTTGACAGAAAATGAGAAAAACACACTAATTTTTCCCTTTTGCTATGTGGAGTGCATTCACTAGGGAACATATTCCTCGGTACATTGCCAATTTAACTACCTCACCACTTTTGTGTGGTGTGTTTCTTCAAGTCCTACTGTTTGAAAGTTTTACAAGCATGCTATTTGGCTTCAACCACCTCTTTAAAATTTTATCTCATTACTTATAATTTCAACTCATGACTGGGATAAATTAGTTTTAATTGCTAGTTATTTGCATTAGAAAACAATCATGAAAAACGAAGAAAAAGCTGTTAAGATCATAGAAATTAAACTCCTACAATGGAATCCCATACCATTTCCCTAAATTAAAAAAAAAAAAAAACCTGATGTGAGGTACTCACGGCAAGAAACTGAGTCACGTAACTACCTGGGGTCCCATTTAAACTCTGCAAATAAGCAAAGTCAAAGCTCACAGCCTTTGGAGGAAACTATATCTGTTTGACTTTTTAAAAGCAAGTGGTATCAACATTTTAGAGCATGGTATGAAAAGTCAGACTTAGTTACAAAAGTCTGTGATAATATAAAATTCAATTTAGAAAAATATAAGCAGCACATTAAGGCAATGGAACAATATTTTTATTTGAATTTTAACTAATACGTATATACTCCTTGGGCTAACCCACTGCCCCACCAAAATCCAATTTTCACTATAATAATCATTTTCACAGAAAATAGAGGGGCACCTGGGTGGCTCAGTCAGTTAAATATCCAACTCTTGATTTCGGTTCTGATCATGATCTTGGGGTCGTGGGATGGAGCTCCACGTTGGGCTCTATGTTCAGTGTGGAGTCTGCTTGAGATTCTCTACCTCTGCCCCCCTCCTCCCCTCACATAAATAAATAAATAAATAAATAAATAAATAAATAAATAAAATCTTTAAAAATTTTTTAATTAAAAAAGAAAATAGAAAATACCATTTGAACAAATTTCAGTATAGTGTACTGACTAAGCACATGGCTTTAGAGGAAAATATTTCTCAGTTTGAATCTCACTGCTGCTTACAAGCTCTGGACCGAAGCACATTTCCTACGTTTTCTAATTTGTAAACGTAGTTCCTACTTCATAAGGTTGTTGTGAAGATTAGGTAAGATAAAATTCATAGTGATGTACCTACTTGTTACGGTAGGCAGAATGATGGCCTCCAAAAGATACCCACGTCCTACTCCCTGGAACCTTAAACTAAGTATGTTACATTACATGGCAAAGAATTTTGTGGACAGTATGGATGGACTTTGAGGCCATTATACTAAGTGATTTAAGTCACACAAGAAATGACAAATACTATAGATTTTTACTTGTGTATGGAATCTAAAACAAAACAAAAATGAACTCAGGTAACAGAGAACAGATTGGTGGCTTCCAGAAGCAGGGTTGGGTGGGGAGGGGCGTAGGTAAAATGAGTGCAGGTGGTCAAAAGGTACAAGTTTCCAGTTATAAAATAAATAAGTCATGGGATGTAATGCACAGTATGGTGACTATAGTTAATAATGCTGTATTGTATATCTGAAAGTTGCTAAGAGATTAGATCTTCAAATTTCTATAACAAAGAAGACATTATAACTATGTGTGGTGGTGGATGTTAAACTAGACTTGCGGTGATCACTTAGCAGTATATACAGATATCGAATCATTATGCTGCACACCTGAAAATAATACGATGTCATATGTTAATTATATCTCAATTTATAAAAATTAATTTTAAAAAAGAATTAAGGTTGCTGATAGAATTAAGGTTGCCACTCAGTTGGCCTTAAGATAGGAAGAATATTCTGGATTTTCTGAGTGGGTCCAAGGTGATCACAAGGGTCTTTAAAAGTGAAGAGGACAAAGGCAAAAGAAGAGTTAGAGAAAAAGATGTCACTATGGAAGGATGGTTGGAGGGATACAACATTGCTGGCTTTGAAGGTGGAGAAACGGGCCTCGAGCCATGGAATATGGGTGGCCTCTAGAAGTTGGAAAGGGCAAAAAAAGTGTAGCCCTGCTGACACACTGATTTTAGCTCAGTGCCACCAATATCAGAGTTCAAACCTAGAGAGCTATAACACACTTGTGTTGTTTTAAGTCTCTAAGTATGTGGTAATTTGCTACAGCAACATATAAAAAGCAAGATAGGTATATAGATAAATCAGGAACTCTACAAGTTACAGTGAGAGCGAGTGTGGCATATAGAGAATTGTCCACTGCCCCCCACCCCCGTTTTGGAAAACATGCCAACTCACAATGTTTTCATTTTTGTTTTCTTTCTAATTGCAAGAGATCAATTTACCATGCCATAGGATTATTCTTCAAGCAATAGAAGTTGCTGTTGGCTAACAACTTAACCTATTATGGTTCCTCAATGATGACAGATGACAATTATAGAATATATAATTTTTACCTAAGTACTATCTGGCCTCTTATATTTTACTTATTTATAATTTTTTAAAATTTTATTTTTTCACTAAATTCTGTTCCCCACATGAGGCTCAAACTCATGACCCCAAGATCAAGAGTCATATGCTCTACCAACTGAGCCAGCCATGTGTCCCTAGTTTCTTATATTTTTATTTGTACCTAGAGTATCATAGTATCACCTGAGAGTATCATATGAATTAGTTATGAACTGACCATGCTAGAGACTTACAGGAGTAGCCCTGTCATCTCCTGAGAGGTAAGCTCAGAGGCAGGCCAAACTCACTGGGTATTTCCTGCCTCTTCTTGGCTCTCTCAGAAGCACATTATGTACATTTTTGCCTTTATTTATTTTTTTGAGATTTATTTATTTTAGAGAGAGAGCAAGCACTTGCGCACACATGTGATGGGGGGAGAAAGGGCAGATGGAGAGGGAGATAGTGAATCTCAGATTCCCCACTGGGTGTGGAGCCCAACGCCGGGCTCAGTTTCACGACTCTGAGACCATGACTTGAGCCAAAATCAAGATTAACCGACTGAGCCACCCAGGTGCTCCCATTATTGCCTTTAATCCACATAACCACACCATCATTATCCCCCTTTTTTTATATAGATAAAGGAACAGAAATTCAAAGAGGTGAAATAACCCTATCCAGGTGACACAGCAGGTAAGTGGCAGAAATGAGTCCATTTGATTTGAAGCCCATGGTCTTTCTAAAGCACCAAAGAGCCTTCCATGTCAATGGGTGGTGCTGGATGAAAGGCAGCAAGGACTAGGTGTAGAAGAGTTTACAGACTAAATGCCTAAAGCACCAGGAAGGCACCTGAGAGAAGGCACCTAAGTGTCAGAAGAGGTGAAAGTGAGATGATAAATGGTAACTGACTGGCAGTCTTCATGAGAGGCAAGAGGTGCATGCCCTCTTTAAAGGGACAGCTGATGGCTACTACCAGCTGTTGCCATGTTAGCACATGGGCCCAATGTTGCCAGATCTATTACTTTTTCTATAAAAGCTAGCAATATGGGCGCCTGGATGGCTCAGTTGGTTGAATGACTGCCTTTGGCTCAAGTCATGATCCTAGAGTCTCGATCAAGTCCCACATCAAGTCCCTCCTCTGGCTCCCTGCTCAGCAGGGAGTCTGCTTCTCCCTCTGACCATATCCCCTCTTATGCTCTCTCACACACGCTCTCTCTCTTTCTCAAATAATAACAAATCTTAAAAAAAAAAAAAGCTCACAATATACATTTTAGTGTGAAATGGCATAATTGCAAAATGCTAAGAACAAATTCAGGTTTTCTTTTCTTTTTTTTTACTTATTTATTTGACAGACAGAGATCACAAGTAGGCAGAGAGGCAGGCAGAGAGAGAGAGAGGAGGAAGCAGGCTCCCCACTAAGCAGAGAGCCCGATGTGGGGCTCGATCCCAGGACCCTGGAATCATGACCTGAGCTGAAGGCAGAGGTTTTTACCACTGAGCCACCCAGGCGCCCCCAAATTCAGGTTTTCTTAAAACACTGTGCAGGCCAAATGAGCCACATCAATCAAGGAAATTTGCCCCAGGGGCTACCAATTTGAGACCACTAGCATTGATCCCTAGGACCCAGGGAGCGGTCTGTAGTCTTGCTAAAATAGATGTGGAAAGGATTGAATTAGCTTTTGATTGAGCTCATTAAGGGAAGAGATACCCTAATCTAAGAAAAAGGGAGGCTTATTCCAGGGCATGGAGGCACATTGGAGAAGGGAGTATGACTCAACTTTTCCACAGAATCTTCTTAAAGACACCAATAATTAAAGCAACTCTAAACACATCAACCCCCTGGGTTTGCTAATGCATTTTTGCATTTAAGCATTTTTGTATGAATCATCATTGATAGATATGCATGTTCATTAGAAGCCAGATTATTTTAATAGAAAACAGCTTAATTAATAGCATAAATCCAATTTTATAAAAATGCAAAAAAGCTGACACATAATATCTGTAGAGTAAGTAGGAAGAAAGGGCCAAAGACTTTGAAAAATTTATTCAAAACCGTACAATATCAGTAAAGCAAACTACACTTAAAACTTACTGATACATATTTTAAGCACAAAGCTCTGGTTTAAGAAACACAGAAACAGTTGCAGGAAACACTGAGGGATAAGCTGATGGAGAATGGCAGTTGTACAATACATTTCATCTCCACAGTTGTGGTTTTTCTGACGCTGAGCTCTGCAGCCATGCTAAAGCCACGAAGAAGACAGACAGTGGCCTTGAACCTGGGTTGGGAAGGTTCAAGAGAAGGACAGTGGAACAGAGGAAGAGAGGCCAAGTGGGGGCCAAGCTATTTACACTTGCTAAGAAAAGGAGGAGGTAACAGGCAGGAAGATGAGGTCAAGGGCATGGGGGACGTGGACAGGTAGAGAAAGATGTTAACAAAAACTTCCTACACATGCTTATACTATTCATAATATTTTATAATTTAAAGTACGCTGTCATTTTCAAAGCATTTTTAAAAATAGACTTTATTTTTTAGAACAGTTTTAGGTTCTCAGCAACACTGAGCAGAAAGTAGAGAGATCTCAGATAACCCCTGCCCCCACACATGCACCCCCTCCCCAACCAGAGTGGTACTTCCATGGTTATGGATGAACCTACATTGACACATCGTTGTCATTCAAAGTCTGTAATTTACACTAGGGTTCACTCTCATTGTTACATATTCCATGGGCTTGGACAAATGTCTAATAACATGTTTTCACCATTATAGTATCATGCAGAAGAGTTTCACTGCCCTGACATCCTCTGAGCTCTATTCATCCCTCCCTTCTCCCAACCCCTGGCATCCACTGATCTTTTTACTATCTCCATAGATTTGCCTTTTCCAGACTGTCATATAGTTGGAATCAAACAGTATATAACATTTTCAGAATGGCTTCATTTAATTAGTGATATACATTAAAGCCTCTCCCCCATCTTTTCATGGCTTAATAGCTCATTTCTTTTTAGCATTAAACAATTTTCTGTTGTATGGATTACCGCAGTTTATCCATTCACCTACTGAAGGACATCTTGTTTGCTTCCATGTTTTGGCACTTATGAATAAAGCTGTTCTAAACTCCATGTTCAGATTTTTGCCTGGACAGTTCATTTTAACCTTCATATTCTGAATACAGAACAAGTGTTCTAAACCAATTCCTAAGAAGTCAAATATAACACATGAAATCAAAGCATTTATCAGTATGACTGGTAGAGTTTATCCTTTGAATATCCTTTGAAACAAGACAATATGTTACTATGTTAGGAATAAGAAACTCTAAATTGATGATTTCAACAAATGCTTTGAGGAATTAACTCTCTATTTGGTCCTTCCCCCCATCTTCTCTCTGCTCCACCCCTTCCCAACTCAGAACAGTTAACATGATACACTGGATCAATGGATGTGTAACCAGACTGTGTTGTTTCTGTTTGAATAATGAGCCTCTGACATTTATGAACAGTATAATTTGGAGCAACTTACTCAACATCTTCGGGCCTCTTCTTCCTCATCTGTAAAGCAGGAATTTTTAATAGTGTCTGCCCCACAGATTAAATGAGTTTATATTCGTAAACTCTTAGAATAATTACCTGGCATGTAAGTGTTGAATAAAATGAATAATACGTACATGGATCTCTTGTATGAATGCTGGTCTCCCAGGCCTGTATAGAATTCTGAATTGTGCTGTTGAGTCAAACTGTCAGGTCTGCAATTTGATTTTATCCCACTTACAAGCCAGTAAGTTAGCCTTTACTGTTTCACGGATGTTGAAAGAAGATGTGAGACATCTGAGTCAGAAAGAAAAAATTGTTTCACCCACAGCACAGGATAAAAAACACGAATTGTTCATATCGATTCCTCTTGCCCCCAAGTTCCACCGGCGTAACACCAAGGAGCCCAGATAGAGGCCACACATGCAGTGACTTTGGGTTCAGTGGGGGAACAGTGAGCTTGAGGAACCCATTGCTTTTCCAGCAAGCAAAAAGCTAAGTCAGTTTCTTTGTCCCAGAGGGAGATGTTACTTTATCTCTCAAGAGTGCTGCTGTAGGGGTGCCTGGGTGGCTCAGTGGGTTAAAGCCTCTGCCTTTGGCTCAGGTCATGATCCCAGGGTCCTGGGATTGAGCCCGGCATCCGGCATCCCACTCTCTGCTCAGCGGGGAGCCTGCTTCCTCCTCTCTCTCTCTGCCTGCCTCTCTGCCTACTTGTGATCTCTGTCAAGTAAATAAATAAAATCTTAAAAAAAAAAAACAACACAAAACATTGCTGCTCTAGGGGCACCTGGCAAGCTCAGTCAGTAGGGCATGCTATTCTTGATCTTGCAGTTATGAGTTTGAGCCCCATGTTGGCCATATAGATTACTTAAAAAAAAATAAAAATTGGTTGCTGCAAACATAAACATGAGAAATGGCTTGGGTAAAAAGTGATGTGGTAGAAGGCCTCTAACATGGCCCGTAATGGTTCTTGCCTCCTGGTCTTCACTCCTTTGTGTAATCACCTCCAGCAGACTATGGGCTAGATTTATTGACTCATTTCCACCTAATTTAATACAGCACAAATGACAGGATGTTGCTTCTGAGCTGAGGTTATAAAAAGACTGTGGCTTCTATCTTGGGCACCCTCTGATGTTCTCTCTCACTCACTCTGAGGGCAGACAGTTAAGTTGTAAGCTGCCACACAGAGAGAACTGCACAGCAAGGAAAGGAGGTCTTTGGCCAACAGTGAGTAAGAACCTGAAGCCTGCCAACAGCTGTGTTGAGTGACCTTGGAAGCAGAATCTCCCTTATTCAAGACTGGGGATGACTGCACCCTGGCCAATCCCTTGACTGTAGCCTTATCAGAGACTCTGAGGCCAAGGGCTCCCAGCTAAGCTATGCCCAGATTCCTAGTCAACAGAAACTGTCAAAAAAAAAAAAAAAAAAAAAAAAAAAAGTGTTTGTCGTTTGAAGCCTCTGTGTTTTGGAGTCTTCTGTTATGCAGTGATAGTTATGTGATATGAGCTGTGAGGGCCTTGCACTCTTGGCATACTGGCCAAGACGTGAAGGGGTATGAGAGACCCATAAATAACTATTCCCAAACAATAGGGCAAAGCTACAAACCAGGAAGACGATGCCTTCTTCCCAGAAGAGGGCTGACACGCTTAGTGTCTAGTATGTAGGGAAAGGCATATGCTGAAACTAGAAACTAGAATTTGGAAGGAAGCCCTAAGCTGGAACTAGCCTGACCAATCTCAGAGCCAGTTTTTGAAGAATTTTGCTTGCTTAAGGACACAGTGCAGGATAGAAAAAAAAGGTTTCTGCTCTGTGCATGCAGTAGGAAGCTAGGTAGGTTGTGTCAAATACTGAAATGCCTACTCTGCATTCAGTGAACCAGATTATCTGGTTGTATATTATTTTCTGTCCTCATGTGCCTTCTGTTCATCTGAATCCTTTGTAAACTTTGTTTAAATACTTCCCCAGTCTTACTGGTACCTAGAGGAATTAGGTGTCAAATGCTTGATTAAAGGGGAAACAGTGCCCCCTGGAGACCAGAGTGGCAATGCCCAGAGACCACAAGAAGCAGAAGCTAGACTAGGCAAGAGAAATGTAAGGTTCTTTGTAAATATTAAGAACTGCGATGGGAGCCTGGGTGGCTCAGTGGGCTAAGCCTCTGCCTTCGGCTCAGGTCATGATCTCAGGGTCCTGGGATCAAGTCCCGCATTGGGCTCTCTGCCTCGTCAGGGAGCCTTCCTCCTCTCTCTGCCTGCCTCTCTGCCTACTTGTGATCTCTGTCAAATAAATAAATAAAATCTTAAAAAAAAAAAAAACAAGCAGAAAACAGGGACGCCTGGGTGACTCAGTTGATTAAGCATCTGCCTTTGGTTTAGGTCATGATTCCTAGGATCATGGGATCCATCCCCCCATCAGGCTCCTTGTTCAGCAGGAAACATGCTTCTCCCTCTGCCTGCCACTCCCCCTGCTTGTGCTCTCTCTCTCTCTCTGATAAATAAATCTTAAAAAAAACAAAACCCCATAAGTTAATGTCAAGAACATATTTAATTAAATTAAAAATCTCTGATCTAAAGCTTGTAAGAAATTGGTATGAGCTTTTGTAACTAGGTGTGGTGATGGATGTTAACTAGACTTATTGTGGTGATCATTTCACAATATATATAAATGTTAAATCATTATGTTGTAAACATGAAACTAATATGTTATATGTCAATTAGAGCTCAATTAAGAAACCCATTCAGTCAAAATTTTAAAAAGAAGTAAGTTGGTATGGAAGATTTCTTAGCATGATAAAGAATTTTTTTTTTTCTCAAAGAGAGTCAATTTTATTCCCTACATAATGGAAGGCCAGCAGTATTATTCTTAGGAACATTGGCTTTGTAACAGACAGGACTTCCTTTTATTAACTGTGTGCCCTTGGCTGAGTTGATGAATCTGAGCCTGTTTTTTCATCTGTAAAACAAAGATAATATCTTATTGGATTATAGAGTTGATTAAGTAAGATTATGTGTATTATATCCTTAGTACTTGATAAGCACTCAGTTATTATTATTAACTACTACTACTACTACTACTACTACTACTACTGTACGAATGAAATAAGAGTGTTCCATCTACTTAATATTCTCCATGCTGGTAATGGAATTTTCTGATAAGAAGAATTTACAGAAGACATAAATTAGAATAGAGGAAGGAAGAATTGATGGGCAATAAAACCCAAGAATATTTGTAAAGGTGTGGGGAAAAAATATAATCTTTTAAAACTTTCATTCCAATTTATAGAGAGAGTTCTTACAAATATATAATTAACATCACCAGTCTATGGTCAAAGGAGATGATAAAGAGTTTTAACATGTGTTACCTAACAACCTACTTAATGGTTAAGAAATGCCAAGTGAAACAACTTTCAGGCCTACATACCTTTTATTTTTTTTTTGAAGATTTTATTTATTTATTTGACAGAGAGAGAGAGAGATCACAAGTAGGCAGAGAGGCTAGCAGGGGTGGGGTGGGGAGCAGGCACCCTGCTGAGCAGAGAGCCCTATTCGGGGCTCAATCCCAGGACCCTGAGACCATGACCTGAGCTGAGGCAGAGGCTTAACCCACTGAGCCACCCAGGTGCCCCTCACATACCTTTTAAAGTCTCAAATATAAATGAAAAATAAAAAGAATGGGTCTTGGAGAAGACATAGGAAGAAGGCTTTGACCATGGAACACCACACATCTGACTTTGGCTCCTACCAGCTATGAGTGCAGATTTTACCCTCTCTCTCTGCACCTAAGTTTCCTTATCTGTTCATATGTTATAGCAATAGCATATTATAGATTCATTGTGAGTATTAAATGAGAAAAGTCATGGAAAGCACTGGCTCTCACCAATTGGTCTTATCATTGTCACTGTCATTATCTTCATCATTGTTACTTGATTTGTGATGTTATTACAGGCAGAACTGGAAAGGGGGCTAGCCCCTCAGGAGATTACCCAGAGCAATATGTACTAAGAGCCATAAAGTTTCATAGACCTTTTAAATCTGTTTTACCCATGTAAAACATGTAAAACAGATGTTTCCCATGTGTGGGAAGAAATTTAAAGGGGAAAAAAATTACCTGATTAGAGATGTTTATAGCAATGCTAATTATGACCATCAGAACTTGGGAACAACCTAATACCAAGAAATAAGGGAGAGTTAAGTAAACAAAGTATAGTAATACAAGATACTAAGTACAAAAGGAATATATAAAAATCATAGCTTTACTATGTATCAGGAAGAGCCAGTTCAAAAATAAAATGGAAAAATGACATATTTGTAATAATCACAATAAAATACCTAGAAATAAAATTAATAAAAAATATTCAAAACCCATTAAAAATTATGTTTTACCAAATGACATATAAATTCTTTGTAAATGGAGAGTCATATATGGATAAGAAGCCTCAACATTTTTTAAAATCAATTCTCCCCGTATTGATCTATAAATAAAATATAATTTTTATCAAAATCCCAGTGGAATTTTTTAAATTTAAAAGTTGATTCTCTAGTTTATCTGGAAAAGTAAATGTTTCAAAACAGCCAAGAAGGTTTTGAAAAACAACAGTAACAAAGTAAGAGTTGGCTTACAAGACACTGAAAGAACTATAAAACTATATAGTAAATAGGATAGTGTGGGACTGATCAGAAAATGATGACTGGATGGGGCGCCTGGGTGGCTCAGTGGGTTAAAGCCTCTGCCTTCGGCTCAGGTCATGATTCCTGAGTCCTGGGATCGATCCCCACATTGGGCTCTCTGCTCAGTGGAGAGCCTGCTTCACCCTCTCTCTCTGCCTGCCTCTCTGCCTACTTGTGATTTCTGTCTGTCAAATAAATAAATAAAATCTTAAAAAAAAAAAAGGGAAAGAAAGAAAATGACAACTGGATCAATGGAAAGGAACAGAGTTCAGAAAATAACCCAGGTTCACACTTACAGGATTTCACACATGCTCAAGGTGGCATTTCCCTTTCTAAAAATACATTTTTAAATTATTTATTTGAGAAAGAGAGAGTGTTTGTGCACATGGTCATGATCCAGGGGTGGGGCAGAGGAAGAGAGAGAATCTCAAGCAAACTCCCCACTGAACTTGGACCCTTTGAGCAGGGCTCCATCTCAAGACCCTGAGATCATGACCTGAGCCAAAATCAAGAGTCGGACACTTAGCCAACTGAGTCACCAGCTGCCCCTTTAATGTTTTATTTTATTTACTTTAAAAAAAAAGATTTTATTTATTTTGGGGGGCAGGAAAGTGGGAAGTGGCAAAGGGATAAGCAGACTTCCCAATGAGCAGGGAGCCCATCATGGGGCCCAATCCCAGGACTCTGAGATCATGACCCAAGTTGAAGTCAGACGCTTAACTGACTGAGGCACCCAAGGCCCCAATATTTTATTTTTAAGTAATCACTACACCCAACATGGGCCTTGAACTCACAACCCCAAGATCAAGAGTTGTAATCTTTACTGACTGAGCCAGCCAGGCCCCCCTCAAGGTGGCATTTCAAATCAGTGGGGGAAGACTAGACAACTCAGTATAAACAGCATAAGGACAACTGGCTTCATTAACCACAAATCATGGGGATTTAAAAATATAAACTTAAAAAACCAAAACAATAAAACTATTTGTCAAATATATATATTTAGAAAAATATCTTTACAAACTCTGGGTAGGAAATAACTTCCTTAGTCTGACACAAAACCTGGAAGCCACAATGGATTGATCAGATTATGTGAAGATTAAACACTTTTGTTAAGACCTGTGCCTGTCTTTGGAATCCCCAAGAGAGCAATAGCATGGGGTGAGAGATGGGAGCTGGGAGGCAAGCAGAGGGAGTCCAGAAAGGGCACCCAGGAGTCTTCAGCTATGCTTTGCTTTGATTCTGAGCATTGCTCCCTGCTCAGATAAGCACAGTGGATTTCCTACTTAGAGTTTGATAACTTTTTGAAATGTATTCCTGGTTCCTAGTATGTCTAATTTTAAATGAATTTCAATGAAATTAAAACTCACTTTAGGGAGCGCCTGGGTGGCTCAGTGGGTTAAAGCCTCTGCCTTCAGCTCAGGTCATGATCCCAGAGTCCTGGGATCAAGCCCCAGCATCGTGCTCTCTGCTTAGCAGGGAGCCTGCTTCCTCCTCTCTCTGTCTCTGCCTGCCTCTCTGCCTACTTGTGATCTTTGTCTGTCAAATAAGTAAATAAAATCTTAAAAAAAAAAAACAACCCTCACTTTGGGCACCTGGGTGGCTCAGTCAGTTAAGTGGCCAGACTCCTGATTTCAGCTCAGGTCGCCATCTCAGGGTCCTGGGATCAAGCCCCGCATTGGGCTCCACACTCAGCAGGGAGTCTGCTTGAGGATTCTCTCTTCCTCTCCCTCTGCCCTTCCTCCTGCTCGCTCGCTCTCTCTCTCTCCCAAATAAATAAATCTTACTTGGATCTTCCTCCAACACCACCATAACTTTCATAGAGCAAAAGAGACTGTAAAGTTAAAAGATGAGTGACACACAGCAGAACAATTGCAGACTGGGTAATAAAGGGTTGTTATTCATTATATACAAAGGGTTCTTTTAAAATAAGAAAAGGAAAATAAAAAATAAAACACACCAGAAGGCGTACACGTTGCTGAGCAAATAAGCATGTGTTCAACCTCACTACTAATTAAACAAGATGGCTTCTTTACCTATCAGCAGCAGTACACCAAGTAGGAATGGGTGGGTGAACGGTCAGCAGGAAGGAGGGCAAGCAGTCAGGAGGCGCAGTGTTTGTAGAGAATTTTCAAAATAATAAACAGATCATCATGCTAAGTCCAAAATATGCCATTGGTAGAATATTCTTCCCCATAGGGGCAGGCTGCTCCCACTGCCCCAAACTTACCAGGCCCCCTATTAGAATAGGAAAAATAGAAGAGGTTGCTAGCAACCCATGTTAGTATATACCCACACACTGTTGGTAGAAGCATACAGCTTTTTTTGATGGCAAATTGGAAGGACTTAATCGATGTGTTAAATGTGTGTTTCCTTTGACCCAGTAATTCTACTTTTTGAAATATAGAGTACTAAAATATCCCTAATGTGTCCAAAGATATGGGTACAAAAAAGGTATATGTACAATTAACTTTGTAAAGAGGACAATTTGGGACACAACCTACATATTAGCCACTAGGGGAATGGTTAATAATTTATGGTACATAACAGGATTCTCTGGAATGGTTGGGAGATTGGACTAGATAACACCTCAGATCCTTACAATCTTCCAGTTTTAGGACCTTTGATTTTAGTTCCAAAAAAGAGGCTTCAAAAATAATTAAAGCAATGATATCATTAATGGAATAACCATGCACTTCCTTAAGATCATCATTTAGAAGAGGAAATTAATATTTTAAAACATCTTGGAGCACCTGGGTGGTTCAGTCAGTTAAGCATCCAACTCTTGATCACTGTTCAGGTCATGATTTTGGGGTCATGGGATCGAGCCCCACGTTGGGCTCCACGCTGGGCATGAAGTTTGCTTACAATTCTCTCTCCACCCCTCCCCACCCCTCTCTCCCTCTCTTGAAAAAAAAAAAAAGTCTTACTTTGAAATAATTTTATATTTGGAGGAGTTGTAAAGATAGTACAGAGTTCCCATTACTCTTTATCCAGTTTTCGCTATGCCAACATTTTATATAACCATAGTATTGTCAAATATATGTATGCACTATAACCTGTTGAAACAGCAAAGCCAAAAGAACTAGTGATCTAGTTCTACTTACTGCAGATAATAAGACTCTGCCATTGGCTACAGAGGCTAATTATAGCGAAGAAATCAAAGTCATCCTTCTTGGAGAGACCAACATTGAGGTGAAGGAAACATGCATTGTTTGGCCACTGCTTTTTCTGTGCATCCTAGAAGTGGAACAAAACTGGCTTTTTATTAATGCCAGTTCAACTATTTTTAATTTTCTAATTTCTGAAGTGAAATGGGCTGAGGTTAGCAAACTGAAGCATTATCTTAATTGCTTTTGAAAACATTTGAGAAACTGCTATTTTCAGATTCTGTTAATTTAATAAAAGTAGACAAATCACAATGAGTAAGCAGGTCAAGAACCTGAGAATACTGAGTGATAAAATTAAAACATTAAGCACAAGCACTCTTATTTAACAGCTTGCGTGTGCGTGCCAAGTGTGGTGAGTGTTTATGGTTCACCAACTGTGTTGTATGCCAGACACTTCAAAGAATATTCCAGAGAGATGGTCTGACTTACTGGAAGTTTAAAGGCTCAAACCCCATATTTTATCTTGTTTTTTAAAAAACAGTTTTATTATAAAATAGTTAGACATTTTACAGGATTAATCCAGTTTCTACAAGTCAATAACATAAATTTTAAAAAGGAAAAAAAGAAGAAAAAAGGAGAAAAAAAGAAAAAGCAGTAACGTGGATTAAGAGACTTAAAAGATCTAACAACCAAGTGCGTTGCGCAGGTCTTATTTAGATTCTGATTTGAACAAACCAACTATGAAAAGACATTTTTGAGACATTAAAGAAACTTGGTTATGAAATTGGCATTAGATGTTAGCAATAAATTGTTAATTTTATGACTATGGCTTTGTAGTATGTAAGAAAATGTTCATATTTTGGAGATGGATCCTTAATATGAAGGGACAAAATTATATATTTGGGATTTGCTTTTAAATAATTCTACAAAGGAAGAAAAAAAAGTGACAGATGAAGTAAATGTCAGCAAACTTGACAATCATTGAGTAAGTAATTTCCAAGGTAATGGGAATTAATTTTACATTTTTTAAAAGATTTTATTTATTTATTTGACAGAGAGAGAGATCACAAGTAGGCAGAGAGGCAGCCAGAGAGAGAGGGGGAAGCAAGCTCCCCGCTGAGCAGAGAGCCCGATGTGGGGCTTGATCCCAGGACCTTGAGATCATGACCTGAGCCAAAGGCAGAAGCTTTAACACACTGAACCACCCAGGCGCCCCTTAATTGTACATTTTAAATGAAAGTTAAATTTTTCAAAATGAAAAGTTCTCACAAAACACCTACAAAATTTAAATTGGAGGTAGAGTTGTGATTATAACTCTATCTTCCAGACCTATAAACAGTCTATGAGGGTCACCACAAACTGTACGAAGGATCCTTTACAAATGAAGTT